TTTGTAGGAGGGTATTAAATTTTTTTGATAGACTCGCCAAGAGATCTAAGTACCTGGGTATGACCTCCGGTGGAAAAGACACCGGAGGACATAATTATGATCTATGTCGTATGGGTTTAGCCATGTCGCTACAGTGTGTATAATATAGGTAGAGATTCGTCTTAGGGCGCGGAAAATGGATCTTAAAGAGGAAAATGAGCTCTATATATATACATAATTATGTTATGTTGGGATTCTAGGCATCGAGTTTTAATTGGTTGTATGATGCGAAGAGCTGAAATTAAGTTCCATCAGCTGAATCAACTTGTACACGGTACAGTGGGGGGGGGGGCATAATCCGGGTCCCCTGCGCTAATCAGTGATCCACTCTTTAATTCAGACAACAAAAATATTATTGTTGATTTTACCAAAGCTTTGAAAAACCTAAACTTTTGGCAATTCACACAAGGTTTAAAGACTCTCTTCACTTTATGTAGTGTGTAATAACTAGACTATGTCACGTGACAGTTGTACTCTGACAGTCTATTTATTTCCTGACATAGTCTATTTATTTTAGAGCCAAAAATACTTGCGTAGTATATCCCCTCCCACCAGATAAGAATATTGTTTGAAATAAAGTTACCGGTATGGATAATATGATATAAACTTATCGAATAAGTGATTGACAAAATGTTAAAAACATTGTAACCATCTGAAAATTCCTCTGTCGGTACTTTCAAAGAGTAATATCGTCAGTGTTAGTCAGATTTTTACGATAAAGTTCATTCCTTTGATGTTGTCACGTTACTAGTAAATAACACGGTTTCTTTGAAATTCCGATCACACCGCCTCCTGTATTGTTGTATTATTATTGTCATTCCCATATTGAACTTTCAAAGAAGCAGACGTATATTATTGGTAAGGGATTTTGTTTTCTTCTAAACCTAGATTTAATTTGAAAATTCTAAATTCAGTGTATTTTGCTCACTTTTTGTCTTACTTTATAAAATTGCTCCACAACTTTAAAAAAAACCCAACAAACCACATCGGGGCATGTTGACGTGTAAGCTGGTCGATACAGAGGCGGCTTTTCGCCAATGCAGGCGATTGGGGGTTCAATTCCTGTCCTGAGCAAGAACTTTATAGTTGTATTAGTGAAAGGGAACTTCAGTCTCCCATCCAATCAGACAGGTTTCACCCGAGTTCTTCGGTTTCCTCCTGCAATAATGATCGAAACATTCCCACGATATGCGCCAAGGGCCTAATTCAAAACAGGCCTCAGGCCAAATTTGCTACCCTTGTAAAATGACGAGATTATTATTATTATTATTATTATTATTAACATTATAAGCATTTTGAATCAATATTTGGTATTTTACCTATCGTTGACATCATTCTCTAAACCGGTGCCAGTGCCTTTGTTGAAGAGTGACTAGTAACCAGTTAACCAACAGCACATTATAACGTACACATATAGCTAAACAATATTCTTCTTTCTGACATTCATATTGTTTGGTCGATTATTGAATTAAAGTACCAGTCCCAGATATATCTGAGTCTCAAAAAAAAGTCCGTTAAAGTATGCAAATTAAACGCCAAACTATAGAAAAATATTGTAAATACCTTGTCGGAAATTGTCAACTATCAACTTTGTGTGGTTTTAACATGAGCACGAAAATCGCTTAACCGAACACGTGCCCAGATAAGCATCCAGGGCTGATTACTGTAGACATTAGTGACAAATTAAACGTGACTATAATACACTATTTGTAAACTTCATATAGAAGAGTTTTAATCGAGTCTAGCTGAAAGCCGTGGTTATGTTTACTCGTGTTCTTCTAGGCGCACATTCTTCTTGCCGTTGAAAATACCTTGGTCGAGCATTTAGACCTAGCTGACTATTTTTTTTTTTAAAACGCACAAGTTAGCTTAAAATTAATTAACATTGCTAATTTAGACGTTTTTGAGGACTTTTAGTAACGCTTTACACAACATTAAGCAGTTTTATCCTCCATAAATTATCTGGAACCCTCCCTATAATAACGTTTATTCTGCGAAGCAGTATAGCTGCACTCAATCTCATCCCATGGGAGAATATACCTACAAGCATTACCCAATATATTTGTTCCAGACATTTTATGGGTACCCAATTACAGCTGGATAGACTGGAATAATATAAGTTACAGTGCATGTTGGTGACCCAATACGGGATTTATGGTGTCAGTAAATCACAGACCCTGTAACGATTTTATCTTTCCATCATGAACATTCTTAAAGAAAAGCAAATAAATTTAACAACAGTAAATATACATCTGAAAAGTTTTAGAAGTTTCAAACTTCGAAGCGTGTACCAACAGCGGACGCCATATTTAATCGATAGCTCTATTCTGCACGATAAACAAATAGCTGTTCCATATGGAATTTTTTGGTACAGCAAATCACTGGATTTTGCTAGTTGAAAGATAATAGGGATTAGGCCTATGTGTCTTATTCAAGGACACAGGAATGGACTTTGCCAGTTTCGGGGCTCGAACCCGCAACCTATAGGTTACAAGGTTACGAATCCACCCCTCTAACTCTAATCCATCTACCTCGCTAATAATACTATGCAGGGGTGTTTTCCTGGGGGGGGGCAGGGGGGCTCGGCCACCCTAGTTATTGAAAAGGCCAAACCCCGGGGGTCCCTGGGTGGGGGGGGCTCATATTTACTTTTTCAACTTGGACAGACTTTTGACTGTTGTTGAAATGACCTGAAAATGCACGAAATGCCATATGTAGGACCTGAAATGTCAAAATTTTCTATGGGAGGTCCCAAGGTATTCCTCCAGTTGCTTTGCGCCTGCGGCACCATCGGAGACTGTTGGTGCAGGTAACACACCTTCTTTATGTTTTAACCCCCTATCAAAAATTGCTTCCTTGGGCAGTGTAATGTGATCGTAGATTGCCGTCGTATAATTTTCTTTCTTGGAGAATTGTTGCCTGTAGAGTAATCACAATGTGAATGGACTAAAGGACGCATACCTTGTACACACTAATATGACACTATCAAAGCTGCTGGTGGGCATATGTCACCTCGCTTCGCAAGGCTATCTTTATTAACATTTTCAGCTGAAATGTTGATGTATATTACCGATTAAATTTACAATAAATGGCGGGAAAATAACTGTTTTATGAGAACAACTTTTTCTTACTTTTCAGTAAAAATTGCACAAATTAAGATCATTCTTAGAATGATAGTGAATCTAAATTGTCTTGCTCAAAATAGCCCAGATCGCATATACGAGCTTTCTCACTTTCAGAGCTTCCGGGGCCTAGGCGTCCCTGAACCCTTGCCTACTGGGCTGTGATAGTCGACTGCCACGCCCACTTCGGGCCCCCCTACTTCCAAATTTACCAAAACACCCCTGATACTATGAGAGCAACATATTACGACAAAACATACAATATCATACAAATACAAACTTCATTGAAAACCACGATAAATATTAATCAAATACTTATTTTTCGAGTTTGATTTATAATAGACCTATCATTATTGTTTTTTGTTCAATTTGGTCAACAGTTCAAACGTCATAATGAGAATTATTTGGATCATAATTTATTAAAGATAACAATGTCGAAGATACTATGGTATACGGAATTTGTATTGTTCCACCATAACCTTATTACATCCACCATATCATTTTGAACCTTCAAATTAATATTGGAGTGTTTATTAACGATTCTTGTCATTTTAAATGAAATATAAATGTGTATGTTTTTTTTTCTATTTTTGAAGGTAGACATGGAAAACTTTTTGAAAAGTAGAAATGATGATTCTGAATTAATAGAGAAAATGAAAGATGACGGGGTAAGCGTAAGACTTTTTTTTACCTTTTTGGATATTTACCAGGCAAAATAGACCTGTGATTAAATAATTATTCGAAAATCTCGATGTGTTCCATTATGTCTGCCTGCATTCTTGCCGTATTTTTACTTAAAAGTCAATATAGATCAGGATGTACGGATTAACATATATTATCTGTAACATAATGTCATACTTTGGACATTCTAGGCATAGTGGGTTACGAGGTAGGGGCATGGCCCCGACAAGGAGAGGGGGTGCGTCGTGGCAAGTTATGTGTTATGAACAGATGCAGTGACAGAACACCGAGAGGCGAAATGGGTCGATGTGTGCCAAAAGTTTTGCAAAAAAAATAAATTGCAGAAAAATCATCGGGATTTTCCAATCCGGCTTCCCTATGTCAGTGGAGCAGGCCGTTGGCCAATGGCCATAGGCATACGGCCCGGGGGGGGGGGGGGGCCTCCTCCAAGCTGGTTTTTGTCGGGTGTTTGTCGGGACAATCTGTCGACATTGTCGGGACTATCTGTCGGCATTGTCGAGACTATCTGTCGGGATGGACAGATTTCATAGGTTAACAGCCAATTTGTCTATCACTCGACTATAAAGTTATTTTCTCATTACAGCGATACAAAAATGTTGCAACGAATCCAATAATTCTATGTTTACGCATGTATGTATGTTTATGTCAGATTGATGCGAGCTTGCATATCTGTCCCTGAACAGAATAACTTAGCGGGTAGGTAGGGGACCTCCAAAGATTGTGTCCTGGGAGACGCTTCAGGATGTGGGTGTCATGGGTAAGAGCGATAGCCGACACCGGGTGGGGGGGGGGGGGTCTAATGTCACAACTGCATTTTTATCTGCTTGGATTGTATTTTACCATTCACGATATTTGTGAAACAACTAATATACTTAGGCTAATCTTTTCGTATTCTAGATAGATGAACAAGTTCTGGCTAAAATTGAAATCGATCAACTGCAGAAATATTTACCAAAATATGGAGACTGTTTAGCTGTAACATTATTTGCCAAACAATATACACCCGGACAGATCAATGACAGAAAGCGGAGTTTAAGAGGGAGATTAGTCTCCAGGTTACAAGGAAGCCGGAGCGAACATGGAAGACGATCAACACCACAAGAGGGAAACAAGAATGCGATAAAAGGACGAAGGAAAATAGAATTGGGTTGGTTACATGAATATGGTGCAAATGGATTGAAACAAGTTAGATCTCCAAATGGTGGTGGAACCAGAACATTTGATATGCAGTTAGATAGTTCGCTTACCGAGTTACTTGTTCAGGCCAAGCAATTGTTTTTTCCGAACGAAATATCAAAAAAGGGTCATGCTAAAGACTTCAGTTTCTACATTACTGACCAAACACATACGAAATTAGATTTGACCATAACACTACATCATATTAGTCAAACAACAAAGCTAAAAGCTCTGAGGTTTTACATGGTTACGAAAGCCATTGATGATGAAAATACATTACCAGATTTATCTTCTCAGGTGAAGAAAGTCCGAACATTGAAACCAGACAGTGAAGCAACAAATACATCGCATGAAGACGATACGGGCAGCGATCTTGAACCAACAGAATTTTTGGACAGGTATGTCTATAATGATATTCAAACGCCATCTTTTGACATTTGATAGAAAGAATCCCAGAACCCGGCATAAGCATCTCTAGACACCCCATCTGAGTCTTGCCCTAACTCATTGACAAAAGAAATATTTAAAATTAAATGTAGAATATCTTGATTTTTAAAAATTCCGATCAATTCATTTTGCAATATTGTTCGATGCAAAGTTATGTTCATACAGTTTTTAAAGAAAAGCAAATAAATTTAACAACAGTAAATATACATCTGAAAAGTTTTAGAAGTTTCAAACTTCGAAGCGTGTACCAACAGCGGACGCCATATTTAATCGATAGCTCTATTCTGCACGATAAACAAATAGCTGTTCCATATGGAATTTTTTGGTACAGCAAATCACTGGATTTTGCTAGTTGAAAGATAATAGGGATTAGGCCTATGTGTCTTATTCAAGGACACAGGAATGGACTTTGCCAGTTTCGGGGCTCGAACCCGCAACCTATAGGTTACAAGGTTACGAATCCACCCCTCTAACTCTAATCCATCTACCTCGCTAATAATACTATGCAGGGGTGTTTTCCGGGGGGGGGGGCAGGGGGGCTCGGCCACCCTAGTTATTGAAAAGGCCAAACCCCGGGGGTCCCTGGGTGGGGGGGGCTCATATTTACTTTTTCAACTTGGACAGACTTTTGACTGTTGTTGAAATGACCTGAAAATGCACGAAATGCCATATGTAGGACCTGAAATGTCAAAATTTTCTATGGGAGGTCCCAAGGTATTCCTCCAGTTGCTTTGCGCCTGCGGCACCATCGGAGACTGTTGGTGCAGGTAACACACCTTCTTTATGTTTTAACCCCCTATCAAAAATTGCTTCCTTGGGCAGTGTAATGTGATCGTAGATTGCCGTCGTATAATTTTCTTTCTTGGAGAATTGTTGCCTGTAGAGTAATCACAATGTGAATGGACTAAAGGACGCATACCTTGTACACACTAATGTGACACTATTAAAGCTGCTGGTGGGCATATGTCACCTCGCTTCGCAAGGCTATCTTTATTAACATTTTCAGCTGAAATGTTGATGTATATTACCGATTAAATTTACAATAAATGGCGGGAAAATAACTGTTTTATGAGAACAACTTTTTCTTACTTTTCAGTAAAAATTGCACAAATTAAGATCATTCTTAGAATGATAGTGAATCTAAATTGTCTAGCTTCCGGGGCCTAGGCGTCCCTGAACCCTTGCCTACTGGGCTATGATAGTCGACTGCCACGCCCACTTCGGGCCCCCCTACTTCCAAATTTACCAAAACACCCCTGATACTATGAGAGCAACATATTACGACAAAACATACAATATCATACAAATACAAACTTCATTGAAAACCACGATAAATATTAATCAAATACTTATTTTTCGAGTTTGATTTATAATAGACCTATCATTATTGTTTTTTGTTCAATTTGGTCAACAGTTCAAACGCCATAATGAGAATTATTTGGATCATAATTTATTAAAGATAACAATTTCGAAGATACTATGGTATACGGAATTTGTATTGTTCCACCATAACCTTATTACATCCACCATATCATTTTGAACCTTCAAATTAATATTGGAGTGTTCATTAACGATTCTTGTCATTTTAAATGAAATATAAATGTGTATGTTTTTTTTTTCTATTTTTGAAGGTAGACATGGAAAACTTTTTGAAAAGTAGAAATGATGATTCTGAATTAATAGAGAAAATGAAAGATGACGGGGTAAGCGTAAGACTTTTTTTTACCTTTTTGGATATTTACCAGGCAAAATAGACCTGTGATTAAATAATTATTCGAAAATCTCGATGTGTTCCATTATGTCTGCCTGCATTCTTGCCGTATTTTTACTTAAAAGTCAATATAGATCAGGATGTACGGATTAACATATATTATCTGTAACATAATGTCATAGTTTGGACATTCTAGGCATAGTGGGTTACGAGGTAGGGGCATGGCCCCGACAAGGAGAGGGGGTGCGTCGTGGCCAGTTATGTGTAATGAACAGATGCAGTGACAGAACACCGAGAGGCGAAATGGGTCGATGTGTGCCAAAAGTTTTGCAAAAAAAATAAATTGCAGAAAAATCATCGGGATTTTCCAATCCGGCTTCCCTATGTCAGTGGAGCAGGCCGTTGGCCAATGGCCATAGGCATACAGCCCGGGGGGGGGGCCCTCCTCCAAGCTGGTTTTTGTCGGGTGTTTGTCGGGACAATCTGTCGACATTGTCGGGACTATCTGTCGGCATTGTCGAGACTATCTGTCGGGATGGACAGATTTCATAGGTTAACAGCCAATTTGTCTATCACTCGACTATAAAGTTATTTTCTCATTACAGCGATACAAAAATGTTGCAACGAATCCAATAATTCTATGTTTACGCATGTATGTATGTTTATGTCAGATTGATGCGAGCTTGCATATCTGTCCCTGAACAGAATAACTTAGCGGGTAGGTAGGGGACCTCCAAAGATTGTGTCCTGGGAGACGCTTCAGGATGTGGGTGTCATGGGTAAGAGCGATAGCCGACACCGGGTGGGGGGGGGTCTAATGTCACAACTGCATTTTTATCTGCTTGGATTGTATTTTACCATTCACGATATTTGTGAAACAACTAATATACTTAGGCTAATCTTTTCGTATTCTAGATAGATGAACAAGTTCTGGCTAAAATTGAAATCGATCAACTGCAGAAATATTTACCAAAATATGGAGACTGTTTAGCTGTAACATTATTTGCCAAACAATATACACCCGGACAGATCAATGACAGAAAGCGGAGTTTAAGAGGGAGATTAGTCTCCAGGTTACAAGGAAGCCGGAGCGAACATGGAAGACGATCAACACCACAAGAGGGAAACAAGAATGCGATAAAAGGACGAAGGAAAATAGAATTGGGTTGGTTACATGAATATGGTGCAAATGGATTGAAACAAGTTAGATCTCCAAATGGTGGTGGAACCAGAACATTTGATATGCAGTTAGATAGTTCGCTTACCGAGTTACTTGTTCAGGCCAAGCAATTGTTTTTTCCGAACGAAATATCAAAAAAGGGTCATGCTAAAGACTTCAGTTTCTACATTACTGACCAAACACATACGAAATTAGATTTGACCATAACACTACATCATATTAGTCAAACAACAAAGCTAAAAGCTCTGAGGTTTTACATGGTTACGAAAGCCATTGATGATGAAAATACATTACCAGATTTAACTTCTCAGGTGAAGAAAGTCCGAACATTGAAACCAGACAGTGAAGCAACAAATACATCGCATGAAGACGATACGGGCAGCGATCTTGAACCAACAGAATTTTTGGACAGGTATGTCTATAATGATATTCAAACGCCATCTTTTGACATTTTGCAACAGGCCATGATGGGTTCTGATATACCACAGCAGCCAATCAGTATACTTGACACTCAGAGTCACAGCACCAGTTACCAACAATCTGGAAATATCGACACTCAACTACAACCCGAAAACAGTACCAATCCTTTTCAAGAACATATACAGGATACAAGTCATCGTAACGTATCCAGTTCATCTACCGATCGAGAACAGCCTAGAAGAATTAGCCAGGATCAAACTAGAATCAATCACCACAACTACCAACTTCAACAGGCAGGTTTAGCAGATGCAAACTGTATGAACATAACTTTGCATCGAACAATATTGCAAAATGAATTGATCGGAATTTTTAAAAATCAAGATATTCTACATTTAATTTTAAATATTTCTTTTGTCAATGAGTTAGGGCAAGACTCAGATGGGGTGTCTAGAGATGCTTATGCCGGGTTCTGGGATTCTTTCTATCAAAAGAATACCGACGGAGAGACTTACCGGGTCCCCATTTTAGTCAATGAATATTCCCAAGAGGAATGGGGTGCCATTGGCAGGATATTACTCAAGGGTTTTATAGACCATAAGTATTTTCCAATTAATTTGGCTCCAGCATTTTCCATAGCTTTAATACTCGGAGAGGAACATTTAACACCTTCAGTTCTGAAAGATTCATTTTTCCTTTTCTTATCTAACACAGAAAAAGACGTCCCGTGTGAAACTATAAAGGGGGGCGATTATGATAGAGATGAACTTCTGGACCTCTTGGACCGATTTCAGTCTCATGCTATACCACACAAGGATGAATTAAATGCTTTTATCTTGCAAGTGGCACATAGAGTGATTATACAGGAACCAAAATATGCATTAGATTCCATGAAGGCCGTTTGCAGTAGTGGACTTCGTGTCCTTCTTCCCGACATTGACTCGATTTTAAACATTTATGATAGCTTGAAGACAACTGTTCAAAAGGTCATCAAACTCTTCAACGCTACCCCTTTGTGTAAAGAAGAAAGTACATCTTTTGAGTTTCTTAAAAGGTTTACTAGAGGAAGAGATTCGAGGCAACTAAAGAGACTATTAAGGTTGTTAACTGGGTCCGATGTTATTTGCGTAGATCAAATACTAGTGAGCTTTGTCGTTCGGCATGGCTGTCAACGTATACCAACTATCCATACATGTGGACCTTCACTCGAGCTCCCGTCAACATATTTAAGTTTCCCCGATTTTCGAAGCGAATGGGAGAACATTTTAGAAAACAAAGAGAGCATTAAAATGACAATTGCTTAAATTCATACATCTATAACAGCCGGGATCATGTTATTAAGTAAATGATAACTTTATTTAAAGTTAGAGTCATGTTATCGGTCAGGATAATTTGTATTTTTGTATTGTTTTTTCTACACAATAACAACTGGCATGTATTTTAAGTTGTATTTGTTTATGCCATAGAGATATAATAAGGTGTATGCTATAATTTTATTTCAAGTTAAATTCATGTTATCGGTCAGGATAATTTGTATTTTTGTATTGTCTTTCCTACACAATAATAACTAAACTAGCATGTATTTTAAGTTGTATTTGTTTATGCCATAGAGAAATAATAAGGTGTATGCTATAATTTTATTTAAAGTTAGAGTCATGTTATCGGTCAGGATAATTTGTATTTTTGTATTGTTTTTTCTACACAATAATAACTAAACTAGCATGTATTTTAAGTTGTATTTGTTTTATTATGCCATAGGGAAATAATAAGTTGTATATTGTAATTGTATTTAAAGTTAGAGGCATTGTAGCTGTATGTGCATAATTTTCTTTTCTATACAATTATAAAAAAGAGAAAATTGTCGTATGTTACTCCCATTTTGTTTTCGAATAGTAATTTTGGCATCGGTAGGCGAACTCCCTTTGCACAGCAAATGGATAACTCGCGTTACTTACCAAAATTGAATACAATAATGGGGTAGGTAATAAAGAAATCACAAGGAATGGTATGGTAATAATTCCAAATTCCGTGTTGGCCTTGGGTAGTCAGTCTGTCGTAAATGGGGAGGTTCACAGTCACACTGAGAGATACAGCTTTCTCACAAGCTTCAGTTGGAAATAGCAAGGAATCTTGCACTAAATTCTGGGTGATCTTGGTTGATCGCTCTACCGAATTCGCCTGTCTATGGTGGCTGATGAGTTGTACATCTTAGTGTGTCGAGAAGCGTTCGCCTGTAAAGTGTTAAGAGTATTATACCCCCCCCCCCCCCCGGTTATATACCCCCCGGTCATATACCCCTTCGGTCAAATACCCACCGGTCAAATACCCCCTGGACAAAATATCCCCCGGTCAAATACCCCCGCCAAAATACTCCCGCCCCCGGTCAAAGTACCTCCCGGTAATGCGTAATTCTATCAGTATAGGATGTTAACCTGTTCTAAAGACAACCTGGTCGAGGGGTAATTGATCAGGGGGTAAATAGTCAAGGGGGAATTTGACAGGGGGGTATATGACCGCGGGGGTATATGACTGGGGAGTATATGACAGCGGGGGTATATGACCGGGGGGGTATTTGACCGGGGAGTATATGACCTGTCACCGATCAAATACCCGCCCCCGTCTCCGATCAAAAACCCCCTCGATCAGGTCTTCTTTAGTTAACATCCTATACTGATAGCATTACCGGGAGTACTCTCGCACGACTGGAAGTGACTGATCGTGTAAAGGTAATCGAAGGTAGTCTTGATTGATCAGTCGTGATATCATCCATCTATCTTAGACCGTAATATTTGAAATAAGCTTCTAGGCCCGACTGAAATTCGTCTCAAATCCAATATGGCGGTCACAAATCCAAAATGTCCACCAAATTACCTAAAATGCATTTTCCGAGTTCCCTTTGCCCATTTCTGATTTTTTTCTTCTTCAAGTATTTATGGAATATATTGGTGAAGAAAGATGATTCAATCATAAACAATGAACAACAGCATTTTATTAGCATGTACATTTAAGATGACCGCCAGGTCTACTTCCGTATTATAAGTTTTCAGGATAAGATATCAAGGCAACGTGAAGTTGGCACGTTATTCGGGATTCGGGATTCGCGAATCCCGAATACCGTGCTGGCTCGTTATTCGGGATTCGCCAATAACGAATAACGAATAACGAGCCAGCACGTTATTCGGGATTCGCCACTAAAACAGACCGACCTACCTTGCATCCGACCATTTCCTCGCTACCCCTGACCGTTTCCTCCCGCTCCTTGAACTAACCTGTTTTATTGCCGAATTCGGGATTCGCCACTAAAACAGAACGTCCTACGTTGCATCCGACCATTTCCTCTCTACCCCCCCGGGGGGGATTTTCGAATGGTTAAGCACGTGCGCGCTGTATCATTAAGCATGTCATTGAGTCAACTGGTGTTGTTTTCGAAACCCCGGTTGTACGTGACAAGGAGTAGGGTCGCATGTCCAACCTCGTGGGTTTTCTCCAGGTCCTCCGGTTTCCTCCCACTGCTAAAGATCCTACGCGGAAGCGAATTATTGAAATAAAATTAAAACTATATTTTAGTCTCGAAATGACCTAGTTTGTGTCGAGTAGACGTTAAACCCAATTTTTTTCTCTCTCTCTCTCTCTCTCTCTCTCTTTACCCCCGACCGTAGGGGGTAAATGAACGTTGGGTGACCGACTAACAAGGAGACGACCGTTTGTTGAGCGAATAGGGTGTTGGATGGTTTGTTGCCGTGCACGGGGCAGTTATCTCCAGCAATCACCTGTTGTATTGCCGAATCCCGAATCCCGAATAACGAGCCAGGACGTTATTCGGGATTCGCCAATAACGAATAACGAATAACGAGCCAGCACGTTATTCGTTATTCGGGATTCGCCACTAAAACAGACCGACCTAGTTTGCATCCGACCATATCCTCGCTACCCCTGACCGTAGGGGTAAGGTTATGTTTGGTGACGTTATTCGGGATTCCGGATTCGGCAATAAAACAGGTTAGTTCATGAGAGGACTGCCCCGTGCACTCTAACAAACCAGTTAGCACCCTATTCGATCGACAAACGGTCGTCTCCTTGTTTGTCGGTCACCCAACATACCCTTACCCATACGGTCAGGGGTAGCGGGGAAATGGTCGGATGCAAGGTAGGTCGGTCTGTTTTAGTGGCGAATCCCGAATCCCGAATAACGTGCTGGCTCGTTATTGGTTATTCGTTATTGGCGAATCCCGAATAACGTGCTGGCTCGTTATTCGGGATTCGGCATAACAACAGGTGATTACTGGAGATGACTGCCCCGTGCACGCCAACAAACCAGCCAACATCCTATTCGCTCAACAAACGGTCGTCTCCTTGTTAGTCGGTCACCCAACGTTCATTTACCCCCTACGGTCGGGGGTAAAGAGAGAGAGAGAGAGAAAAAAAAAATTGGGTTTAACGTCTACTCGACACAAACTAGGTCATTTCGAGACTAAAATATAGTTTTAATTTTATTTCAATAATTCGCTTGCGCGTAGGGATTTTAGCAGTTGGAGGAAACCGGAGGACCCGGAGAAAACCCACGAGGTTGGACATGCGACCCTACTCCTTGTCACGTACAACCGGGGTTTCGAAAACAACACCAGTTGACTCAATGACATGCTTAATGATACAGCGCGCACGTGCTTAACCATTCGGAAATCCCCCCCCCCCGGGGGGGTAGAGAGGAAATGGTCGGATGCAACGTAGGACGTTCTGTTTTAGTGGCGAATCCCGAATTCGGCAATAAAACAGGTTAGTTCAAGGAGCGGGAGGAAACCGGAGGACCCGGAGAAAACCCACGAGGTTGGACAGGCGACCCTACTACTTGTCATGTACAACCGGGGATTCGAAACCACGCCAGTTGACACAATGACAGGCTTAATGATACAGCGCGCACGTGCTTAACCATTCGGACATCCACCCCCCCCCCCCGGGTGTAGAGAGGAAATGGTCGGATGCAACGTAGGTCGTTCTGTTTCAGTGGCGAATCCCGAATCCCGAATAACGTGCTGGCTCGTTATTCGGGATTCGGGATTCGCCACTAAAACAGGTGAGTTCATGAGAGGACTGCCCCGTGCACTATAACAAACCAGTTAGCACCCTATTCGCTCGACAAACAGTCGTCTCCTTGTCAGTCGGTCACCCAACGTACCCTTACCCCTACGGTCAGGGGTAGCGAGGAAATGGTCGGATGCAAGGTAGGTCGGTCTGTTTTAGTGGCGAATCCCGAATAACGTGCTGGCTCGTTATTCGTTATTCGTTATTGGCGAATACCGAATCCCGAATAACGTGCCAACTTCACGTTGCCAGATATCAATTTATTATTATTATTATTATTATTATTGTTCGATTTATATAGCGCTTCATTACACATGAAGTGTTTCTAAGCACATATCACAAACATTTACTTCAAACACACAGAAACAATCAAAATCAGGAGAACATAATTAAACACAATTAAACACAGCTGCCTGTTAGGCGCTATTATTCAAAGGTTTATATCCAATAAATCAACCGGCTAATCTCTATATTGAACTCAGTCGAGGTATTACCTGATGAACACCTACACCAAGTAGAGTTCAAAAATAAAAAACGAAGTTTAAAAGAATCAACTTCATTAACAAAAATTAAACAATCAAAAACTAAACAGATAAATCAAATTCAAACGAAACAAATAAAACAAAGAAAATGAAAAGAGCAGTTCATTACCATTCTACATTAACAAAATAAAGGAAAACAACTTGTGAAAATTTTTCAAAAAATAAGAGCAAAGTAACACTAATGTTAATACTTTTTTAACGAACATATGTTATATAAAGTATTAATTAGACATTTATTCACATGACAAGCCAATAATCAACTCGTATCATACTGTTACCATTGTTCACATTTGTTTGTGGACACTCTACAGGTCACAATTTTTATCCAATTTAGATGAAGCTTACAATATATGTTTATTTCCCAAATAACTCGGACACATGTCGAACCTTAAATTTCTGGATTATTACCCCTGGTTGTACATTCATGGGAGGACGAACTCCATCAATAATCAGTGCTCCACAAAACTCTGTTCCGGAGTTAACCCCTGAAAACCTCCGAAAAGCAATAGAGGCTACAGTTTTTCAACAGATTTATATCAAATGTGGTGTTCCTGAATCCCCCCCCCCTCCTTCTCCAAACACGATAGGGGCTACATCTTTTAACAGATAGGGTTTATCTCCTATTTTTCTGCATGGTTTGGCTCCCCAAACAGCAGGGTAATTACCTACTCCTATTTCGATTT